GGGGGGGAGTGTAGTGAGGGCGAAGGAGAAGGGGCAGTGTTACAGGTGGGTTGCGGTTGTCGAGTGAGGGTGGGGACAGAGCGAGCCAGGCGGATCGGGGAGGGGGGGGGGGATCGAGAGGAACACGTGTTCGGGCGCCGTGGGTAGTGTGTAATTTGACGGGTGTTGGGGTGGGGACTGGGAGGAGGGCCCTTGTGCCGTCCGCGGGGGCAGGTGTCGGTTTCCAGTAGCAGTTTCCGCCTGCGGCTATCCGTGCCATAAAGTGAGTAGTGTTAATAAGGCCTCATCATGACAAGGCTCCTCGAAGCCCTTTTTTGAGTAAAAGGCCCTAATGAGAATCCCAATGGCTGCCTGTCGTAGGACTACAGATAATGCACCACTTGAATAGAGCATTTCATATATTCCATGCAAACCCAAACCTGAAACAACATCGACCAAGGCGCTTGTTCTCCAGGAAACGTGTCAAAGTTCTTGCCGTAGACCAATTCAAGATCAGAGGGAGGCCTACCCGAAAGAAGGCATGTCATCGCCGCTAGCCCACTCCTTTTATCGGTGCGTGCGGATTGGTTGCGAGTCTCTTCGCCCTGCGAAGTGTGCTAGGACTTGTCGTCTGAGGCCGCAGCAAGCTTGCGTTTCTCTCGAATGGCTCAGCGGCCTTTCCTATGGGTGATCAGTATGCATATCTCCTGTGCTGTACAAAACAGGCGAGGGCGTGCCGGTCACCTCCCCCCTTGATTTTTGATCGCCAACTCACGCTCCCTAGCCCAATTCAAGCGCACGGTTTGCTGCGACAACTGTCCGCGGCGGGGACTACCGAGAGGATGAAGCTGGGAGATTAAACTGTAATGTTGGATGTTTGGATGCAGTCTGGTACTGTACGGCACAAGTGTCCATAGCATTGCATTGCCGTCAGTCCTTGCGTACGTCAGCCCGCGGGGTGGCAGCGTGCAATTGCCCTGACAGTCTCACGTCAGCATTGCCTGCGGGCGGCAAGGCGTCTGAGTTTCCTTCTCGGACAGACCACTTGCCTAGACCACACACGTCCACTTCGCTTCGCGGGGACGTCATCCTGCCGCGTTCGGAAGGACCGCATCTCGGGCTGTCATGCCAGGAGGACCAGGAGGACTTCACCCCCGTCTGCTGCCGTTTGGCTGTCCACCCCGCTGCCCGACGGGAGACCAGAGTGCAAACCGCAGGCTTCGGCATTTAGGACACTGTCATCACAGCCGTTCATGAGCCTTCCCTGAGCCACATTTGTAAGTGCCTTGTCGCAAATGTATCGCCGCGCAACTTACGCCTCGGAAGGCTGGCGCCCGCCATGGCCTCCGAGCAATACAGGCTTGAACGCAGTCGTGAGCATGACTAGAGGGCACTCGTGAACGTGAGGCACTAGTGTCCCGCCTCCAGACTGAGCTCGACATGTGTGCTTGCCCATAAGTGAGCATTTGGCCACACACCCGGAAAAGAAATCAGTTGGCGAGGGTTGGCACCCATGCTAGAATGCAGAATATCGCGCCATGGGCAGTCAACGTGAGATGTCACTGGACGACACGTTGTCTATAGCCTTACGGTGGAGACAGTCCCCTTGATACAGACTTGCAGTGTGCCTGTCTGAGACTTGGTGCTTCCAGAGTGCCTCTGCTGCGTGCCTCTGAGTCAATTCGGATGTAAAGCGGAAGTCCATGCAGCTTTGTGATACGATCTGATCGCTTTCCCGTCAAGTCAAAGCTGGTTAACACTAAGCGGCTATTGTGGTTGCGAGCCGCAATGCATCGCACACCGTACAACAGAAACAGAACACACATATACATTATTTTATTCCCTACTCCATTGATACATCGTCCAGAAGCTTGAAATGTCCGTCCTTCTTCCGATAATAGCATCTCAACACGACGCGGAACTTTGCCATCCTCACACCTAGAAATTCCAAAATCTTAGCCTTCTCCGGCGTCAACGTTTCCCCTCCCTCGCACACCGTGAAGTCTCTGCTGAGACAGACCTTACCCTTCTTGAGCACGATCGGCATGCCCAGCAACCTCAAGCTGTGTTCTTGCGACGTCTCAAACATCTCCAACTCCCCCTTCGCAAGCTCCACTTTCTCCGTCGCTTCAAACCCGCTCCTCGCGTAGTCGTCCGCCTCAAACTTGCGGAAAAAGCTGACAACCTCCTTGTGTTTGCGATTCGTGAACAGCAGCCCGACGTTTCCTGTGAGCTGAGTTGCGACCTGTCGCAGCCCGTCCGCGTACTCTTCGGCTTCGTCACGGCCAAGGGCGACCTGCATAATCTTGTTGCGCCCCATGAAGAAGCGTGAGTCGCGCCATTCTGTGCGCAGCTTCTTGAGGATGGTGTTGCGCATCGCGGGCGTCGAAATCACGTAGATGGACGCATACTTGTCCACGGCACCGCGCAAGTCCTCCAATACTAGCTGTTTGGACTCCTTCCCGACCAGCTTCTTTCGCGTTTGCGTTAGTGCGACCACTCTTTCCCGTCTCGCTTTTCCCATGGTCAAGTTTCGTGCTTGGCGACACGGCGTTGCACGTTCGGATGTGTGCTCTCGTTAGCAGTATTAAATGCTGCAAGTTGCGGAGAGACAGGGGCGACGCAACTTCGTCTCAATGATGCAAGAACAAGCTACCGCAGCTACGCCACCGCCGTCGCAACGCCGTGGGAGCGTGCAAGCAGAGTACCGCTAAACCTCATTTGGGCACTGTAGAGCCGTCGGTATTTGTTCCAATGCAATTGGGCTCAGGTCGCCAAGAGCAACCAATCATAGACTGATGAATTACAGAATAGACCTAAAACTCTAAAAATTTATCCAAATTTCGTGTCGTCGCCGTCGACCGCACTTTCCTGTCTGCAGAGACCCCTCACGCATTGCCTGTCGCAGCAGGTGAGCCGAATCCCGCGTTGACATCCCGTCTTGAGTATCGCTCAACACACCCCTTTGCTCCGTCCCTCTTTTGACTCCAACTTCTCCCGAATCACAACTCCGCAATGGGTAAGCGCACGCGAAAGGTCGGCGTTGTCGGAAAGTATGGTACCCGTTATGGATCGTCGCTCAGAAAACAGGTGAAGAAAATGGAAATCGCTCAGCACGCCACCTACACTTGCCCGTTCTGCGGAAAGAACTCGATCAAGCGTACGGCCGTAGGCATCTGGCATTGCAGGGCAAAGACCTGCGCCAAGAGCATTGCCGGCGGCGCCTGGTCGGTCAACACGCAGGCTGCTACCTCGGTCCGCAGTACTATCCGCCGTCTGCGTGAGGCCGTCGAACTCTAAGCCCTCGTGATCTACAAGAAAGTAAGGCTCCGGGTTTAGGGGGTTGCCGAGTTCTGCAGTGGTGCGAAAATAGTCGCCTGCGCGGGGTTTCTGTGTTGCGCTATCGGTGTGATTTCCGAGGCCTGGCCGGAATCTGGGCGTGATTTGGTCGACATGCACGAGTGCCAGGAATCGCTTACAATCTGGCTACGATTGCCGTCGAGTTATCGTGTGAACAGACTTTGTAAAGACTTTTCAAGTAAACAGGCAATTGCTTGATTTTCGGAAACTACCCTGTAGCGACAACGTTCGCGTGCGGCACATGTTGGGTTGCACTTTAGTCCAATCTCCCCAGTTTCGTTTCAGGTTTATTTCTATTCTATCTGGTCCTCACACTACATCCCGCATATATTGTCGTCTATCATGCTCTCTAGTCGCCTTCTGACTGCAGTCCGTAACAACTTCCCATATGGTACCTATTACCAACGCAGCTTCACGCGAAACAAACTACTTAAACATCGCCCCCCACCCCTAAAGAAAAAAAAAAAAAAAACTCGCACCACTTTACGCTTTGATCCAATCCCTATACGGTGAAATGGATGAACATCTCACGAAGACTTTTTTCTGTTGAGAACCATTTGCGCACGAAAGCTAGAAGGTCAGTATGTGATCCTCGATGTATACGTGCGTATGTGTAGTAGACTTCATATTTGTTGTACTCACGATTCCTCATCCTCAAGTGACCGCTTCAAGTGTATGATTTGGTACTTCAGCTTTGCGTTCTCCTCCTTGAATTTGTCTAATTCCTTGAACTTGCCATCAGCCTCGCTGCTCGCCGTCAACAGGGAGGTGCGCAGTTCCTTTAAGCTGCCCAACATCGCCGCCAGCACAGGTGCCAAATTGCTCCCATCCCCCTCAGCAGCCTCTAAGAAAGAACCCAGACAGAAGCGTGGAATCAAAAACATCACAGAGATACCGGTAAACAGAGAACGTCATGCACGTTAGCGGAAGAGTTGCAAGTGCGGTGGTGACCTGATGTGCCCCCGTGGAACCACTTACCCATTGCAGGTGCATCTGTCTCAAGCTTGCCCACGCGTATCGCCAGCATTGCAATCGCCTTGTTAACCTGGTCCATGTTATTGAGATCTTGTGAAGTGTTGTCGTTCCCGGACATTCTTCGCAGTTGGGCTAAGAACGGACGGTATATCCGACTGCAGGTGTTCCAAATAGCTGCCAGGGGCTTTTAAAGGTTCAGCGCGACTTAAAAATTAATTAATCAGGGAGCGAAATTAGGAGCAGCCATGAGCGAAAAATTGATCGCTTTTCCTCTTGAAGCTTTCGTATAGTCGCACAACGTCTTACCGTAGGATACTGTTACACGGGAATCAATCCCATTCTTCTTGAAGGTTGTAAGCAATAAATGCCGTAACACAACCCGACGGCCCCAGGCATTGCGCTCTGCGAATCCGCCCGGATCTTGCGATGCCCCAAGGCGCTTGTGTTCCTCCCCTTCCCTCTACAAAACGGCTTCCGTCGCGCCTGTCGCCTTGATCCACCCCTGCAGCAAGGCGGGTGAAGCCATATTCCCGCCACACACGACGACGACAATGGGCCCCTCTCCGACATCGACCCCCTTCAGCACGGCTGCGATCGCAGCGCCACATGCCGGCTCCACCAGCACGCGATGCTTCACCGCGAGTAACGAGCAAGCCTCAACGGCCTCCCTGTCCGAAACGACAACGGGCACGACCTTTCTCCCTTCCCTGACCCACTGGGCGCACTTGTCGCTCACCGCGAGCGCACCAAGTGATTTTGCGACCGACGAAATCTCCTTGAGCTGAACGACCTCGCCCCCTGCGGCTACCATCGCTGCAAAGCTGGCGGCACCTTCCGTCTCCGCAGTGACGATGGGCACGTCGCCCCATCCCACCCTTCGCGTGCCTTCTGCAACCCCTAGGAATAGCCCTCCCCCACCCACGCTGACCACTATGGCAGCCGGTTTTTTACCGGCAAGATCATCCTTGAGTTCCTCCACGAGCGATGCGTGTCCCTCCCAGAGCAACGGGTGATCGAACGGCGATATATGGATGGCGTTGGGCCCCTCGCGCTCGACGATTTCTCTTGCATATCTGTCGGCCTCGTCCCACACAGCGCCATGGACGACGACACTGGCGCCTGATTCCTTGAGTCTATCGATCATGAACTGCGGCGTAGAAGACGGGACGATGATGGTGACGGGGACCGCGAGGACTTGCCCCGCGTGAGCGACGGCGGCACCAGCGTTGCCGCCCGACGAGGACACAAAGTGGCGGACGCCGTTGGCGGCCGCGGAGGAGCAGAGGTGGCCGTGACCGCGGATCTTGAAAGAGCCCGCGGGCTGAAGGTTGTCCAGCTTGAGCAAAACTTGGCGTCCAGAGGGCGCAGATATGGAGGGGGATGGGACGAGGGGGGTGCGGATATGCATCTTCTCTTGCGGCGGGGCCACCATGCTGGTAGTGCCGAACTCGTGACGAAAGGGGGGGCGGGACAGCGGGAGCTTTCCGCGGAAGGACGCGGGTGAGGGGGTGACAAAGGCCATGAGATGGGGAGACGGGTGAGGGGCAGAGGATGAAGGGAGGCGGAGAAAGTGGAGCTCCGATTCGGTCCTGAGGGCGTGCGTTTCGAGACGCTGACGCCCCTGGGGGCCGCTCTCCAACCGTCCTGGTCGAAGGGTCCAAGTGGAGAGCGAAATGCTCAGAGCGTTTTAGCTGTCACGGCACATGTTGAGTTGCATCAGATTGGCCGATTTCGACCAATGGAGTGCTTTCGATGTCCATCCGCAACTACATCCTTATTACTGATCGCGATCAACGCGCTTCAGCACCAGCTCCGTTGTTTATGTGAACGGATTGTGAACAATCCTTTTACGCCACCGCCGACGCCGCCTGTACCAACCGACCACCCCTTCGAGTGAAGTCCGCCCGTCGCAGCTTCTTCCCACGCCCCCCCCCCTTGCGTCCCGTCATGGTAGCCAATCCATCCGAGGAAAAGCCCGCCGCTGGAACCAACATCTGCGTTGGTGGATATGACGGCAGCGTGGCTGGTCTCACGCTGCGCCCCGACGCCGAGGACCTTCTGTCTCTCCAGGCGACCTTCGCCTACGCCTCGCACATCACCGCCGTGCGCAGCGCCGCCTTATCGGGCTCCACTCTCGTCACGGGCAGCGCAGACGAGACCGTCCGCATCTATGACCTGGCCCGCCGCGTCGAGCGCGGCTCGCTCTTCGAGCACTCCGGCACCGTGAACGCGCTCGTTTTCTTCCGCGATGGGCCACGCCGCCTGCTCATGTCGGCCGGTGACGACGCGCTCATGTGCGTCTGGCGCACTTCCGATTGGAAGTGTCTCAAGAGGATGCATGGTCACCAGGCGCCCGTGCTCGACGTCGCTGTCCACCCCAGTGCGAGAGTCGCCCTGTCCGTCGCGAAGGATCGCTCCCTCTTCATGTGGAACATGGTCAAAGGGAAAATCGCCTTCTCTGCCAAGACCAAGGAAACTCCAGCCACCACAGTCGAGTGGGCCCCGGGCGGGGAGAGGTACATGCTCGTGGCCGGGAAGAGTGTCAAGTTGTCTAACGTCGAGGGGAAGGATGTGGAGACGTTTGTACATGAACGTCCGGTCCTGGCAGCTGCGTTTGTGAAGGAGGGCGTGTTGGCGACAGGTGGGGAGGACAAAATCGTTAGGGTGTGGGATCAGAGGACGGGGGGATGTGTTATTGCGTGCAAACATGAGAAGAGGGTCAGAGGGGTTGCGTGCGTTGATGGCTTGGTGGTAGCCGCGGATTCGGGAGGAGGGGTTAAAATTTGGGATGCGCGGATGGGAGGGAGCGCGAGGTTGGAGACTTGCCTGGGTGGCGGGGATATGAGGCTTACTTGTTTGGCGGCAGCGAAGGAGGTAGAAGAGGTGGAGAAGGTGCCGAAGACGGAAGAAGAAGAGGAAGGGGAGACGAAAGACGAGGGAAGGCAAGAGAAAGGCAAGGGTGCTCGGCGGAAGCGCAGGGAGGAGCGACCGGCTCCGCTTGAGGGCACTGCGTCGCAACGAAAGCGCAAAAAGCGGAAGGAGCAGAAGGCCTCTTGAGGATACAGTTGAGTACTTCTTCAGTACTTGTCAGTCATTCTGCAAAGCGAAGGGCTGGCCATATTGTCGCGAAGAAGAATTGCGGTTTTCTAGCACGCGGTCTTGTGGACTTTCTTAAGCTTTCGCTTTATACTAACGTTACGTCACAAAACCGAACCAAACAAGTTAAGCTCAACTTCGGAAATATTCAGTTCTGTACAATTCTAATCCACTGAGCAGTTTTTCGTTCAGCTAAAACTTCATCGCTACCTTCGAAGTCCCTATCGCCGTCGCATGCCGATTTTGTTTGACGCTTTCCGATCCGAAAGCCTTCTTCATCTCACTCTTTAATGCACGCCGCTCACGGGCAGCCTCCTTGGCTGCCGCCTTTCTCGCCCGTTTATCTTCCTTTGACTCCCCTCGGTCCCGCGCTTGAGTTTTTTGAGCTACTTCGCGTCGTGAGGAACCAAAATCGACAGGTGCTGCTTCTGAAGCATTGGCCCTCACAGACGGCATGTAGCCCTCCGGGGCTTGTGTACGCGGATCTAGTCGTATCACGGGCTGCTTCACCACTGATCTCCGCTTCGTAGATGAGGGAGCGTCTATGACGCTAGGATGATTGTCGAGGTTACTGTATGTGGAGACGATCGTTTCACAGTCCCACTTCTCTCCTTTTTGTTCATACATTACGTCAAACTTAGTGTCAAGGTCCGAATCATGTCCATCGCTCTCTTCGTCCAACCCTTCTTCTATTCTCTTGTCGAGCCTCGCCACTTCCTCGCGGTCATTTCGCTCCAAAGCCTCAAAAGCCTTTTCGACTCCCTGGCGAGAACCTAGGACCTCCTCCATCGGCACTCGGCTGAATGAATCCAGGACACCATCTAGACCACGCTCGAATTCCGCATTTGTGATGTCTTCGTACTCTGCCACACGATCCGGATCTGCTCTTCTTTCACTACAGTTGGACTCCAAATGTTCGACGCCGTCTTCCGCGCCCACATCGCCCTCAACAGTCTCGCTGATTTGCAAGTTGGAGAGTTCATCGAGGAATCCTTCCTCACCTCCGAATAGATTTTCGAGTTCGTTGTTTGTAAGGTGCGCGTGTACGTCATCCACATCCCCGACATTGTTCGCAGCACTATCATGAAAGAACTCTTCAGACTCTCCATCCTCGTCGTTGCTGACATCTTCACTGGCTCGCATAAACTTTTCAAACTGCTCATCCAAAAGCCGGGGTTCGCGGTACTCCTTCACAATGCCGTCCAGCGGACCTGTCTTGACTTCATCTCTTTCGCAAATCTGTTGGGCGGTAGTGATGAAATCATCTTCTAATAGATCATTCGATCCGCTTAGCCCTGCTTCATTGAAGAAATCGTCTGCGCTCTCCACATCCAAATCACCATCTCGCTGGGATGAGGAGTCGAGTTCGCCTTCACTGTCCAGGGCCGCGAACACTTCATCCAGATCTTTGTTTTTCTTTCTCTCCGCTTTGATCTCTCTGATAGCCGCCTGTGTACGAACAATGTCATCCTTAGTCGTCTGCAAAATCTCTGGAAACTCTTTGTCAAATTCTGCTACGTCATCCCTCAGCAAAACCCCGTCCTTGCTGCGCACCGTGTTCCTCTTCGATGAGGAACCCGTCACTGCGTCTGGATTGGGCTTTCCTGTAATCCCGTCCATAAAAACGCCGCCCCCACCCCCAATGACCTTAAAATGTTTGGAGTAGTCGTAGCCATCATTAGGACATCCGTACTCGCCCGGCTCAAACTCGGTCCGAACGTATTCTTGATCCCATTGCGACCCGTCTATTGCATCTCCAGCAATTTTCGCATCATGAATTGATTCATGCAAGAAAGAGGCAGATGATTCGTCATGCCTTTGAGCGGCAGCTGCGTCATTGACTGGTACGAACACGTGCTTTTCAGTGCCTCCATCCCCTCCAGAGGTATGGACAAGCTGATATGTCTTTGCCGTCGACCGGTCAATGAAACCGTTCCTTTGCCGCGGCATTTTCAATGCTAGAAAGATCCGCAAATGTCTCTGGTTTTTTGAGGTTCGTTAGGAAGAGTTTTTTCGTTGGGCACAACATCGTCGGCGGTGGCGTAAAGCGGGCAAACTAATTGCGTACAATTCAAGCTTTCATCCAAGCCCTGCGAAGAGCGGGAAATTGATATGTAAAAAACATGAAATATATTGAAAATACAAGCTCGATTTTGAAACGTTTTTAGCTTTTCCGTAGGGCTAAAGCAGAAGTAGATGTTGACATCAACTGTTGTCAACAACATGCGGAGTGGTTCACATCAGGGGATGCGGAAAACGTACTTTCGGACAGGCGACTTTGACGTCCCAATCGATCCACAAACATGTCTTAAAATAAATAATCGCCGAAGGAATCCTTTCTTCAACATGCACATGCACAGTCGACATGCAAGCTTCTTGGTTTTGAAAAAGAGTGGGAGGAGCTGGCTCACTAAAGAAAGGGTGTGTTCAATCTTTCAGCATTTCTTGATACTACGGCCAAAGAAACATCTCCAGATCTCTCTCCATAATTGTATGTTCAGAGATGTGCGAAATTAAAGCCACATACTAAAGTAAAGTCGGTTCGAAGAGCTGAAGAGCTGTTCTACATCTCACTGCCCCTCCATAAGGCATGCACAACTCAATACTGCATTAAGACCAAAGATTGAAAAACCATACCCATCACAATAAGGCGGCCTTCGTGTGACCTCATTTGACGGACTGCTCGGCAGAGAGAGACTACAATGCAGTAGTGCCGTGTGATTGTTCTCCCTTAAACCGCTGTGGAACATTGAAGGATAGATCCCGCAAAATATGGGGCATGGAGTTTCAATTACATATCCTTGAATCCTTAATTCACCCGTGCATGCAGCGTGGGCGAAAAGACCCTTTTCTCCCAACATCGCGGCCAGGGTCTGGTCTGTTTCTACAGTAATTTCAAGCTGTACAGTAGCAAAGGGTGCTTGGTAGGACTGTACCCTTCGAAGGGTACCCTTCGGTACAGCACAAGGTTACTGCACAATGTTACTGTACTGCACAGTCCTACTGTACCAAGTACCCTTACAGTAGTTGTCTACTGGCTCGTTGCCATGCTGTAATGCGAGGGTTTCTTCTCCTTGACAAAGCAAATGGAGCCCGTAGGCAAAGACCGGTGCTCAAAAACATCTTCCTGCATCACTGTATTACGACGGAGGAGGTATGTCTCTCTGCGTGTACATAAACAAGTGGCCAACACGTAGAATTATGACTTCGGCCTTGTAACACGCTTGTCCAAAACCATCCCAATATGCAGTTCAGGAATGGATACTGTACTGAAGGGAATGATCACAGCACGTCATGATGACATCATGATGATATCGTCAACAAGGCAAGAAGCGTTTCACGTGACTGGGGAAGAAAGGGGAGATATTTGGCAACGTGTTTGCAACGGCATGGGGCCTTCGAGAGTCGTGCACTACTCTAAGAGGAAGAATGAAAAGACGCAGCGTAGAACTAGAGAAAGTGACAGTTGATGTTCAGGATAGAAGCGTTGCGCGGTTTAGGTTTGCGGGGCGGGTAATGGCACTACCCCTGGGTAGTCTCACGCAACCCATTGACGCAGGCTCCGCGTTAAGCCTTCTTTCAGTATGAAGAGGCGCCAAATCTGCAATAGCTTGTCGGCTCCACCTGGAAAGCGAGAAGACAAGTGATCCTTTTACCAGAAGTGTACAGTACGCAGTACCGTCGCAGGATTACGTTCGGTTTATAAATATTGATAGACCATCGATATCAACAATGAGGAAAGATATTAAGGTAGTCATTCTCCATCATACCGTAGCTGACGAATGACAACGAAAAACTTGTTGTTGGGCAGAAATGAAAACGTTAAACAATTTCAGACTAACCGGATAGTTAGTGCACACTGTTCTAAACAGTAAGAATGAGAGCACTATCAAATAGGTGAAATGTGCGCCTATGACAAAGAGTATTAATAGCTAGATGTAAGAATTGTTTCACGGGTACGTAGAGGCTGCGCTGCAACGATTGCGCACTAAAACGCGGGAAAGTGATGAGAGGGAAGAGAATCGAGAATAAAATAAAGCGAATAAAATTAAGATCCAGGGCACTTTTGTGTATTTCTCACAGCTGTGTACAAAAGGAGCAACATGGAAATGACACGGCTACCATTGCAAGGGGCTGAGCTGAGAAAAGAAATGAGAATTGTTAATTAATCTCGCCGTCAGCAGGCCCGTAAAAGAACATAAACAGGCCGAAACAAGCATTCTCGACAGACGCAGCGGGGGTACAACGCTTTAGTAACCGCCCACTTGTTGCGGTGGACAGGGCGAAGCGTGGCCCGCCCCAGAGGATGGAAAAAGGCTTGATGTCCAATAGGCGAACGCCTCGTCCCAAAACCGTGCCACTGTGGAGCAATACGCAGTCAGCTCCGCTCCTAGCATTGCTTACGCCCTATCAAGGCGTGCCGCTGACCCTTTTCCAACACCATTCAAAATCCGATCGTTTTGTTAAATTCTCCTTTATAAATATATATTTAGCAGAGTAGCCTCGCCCGTTGCGGCCATTCGTCCCGACCGATTTCGCGTGCCCCACAACCAAAAAACCTAATAATTGCTGCAGAACCACCAACCGACATCCTTCGTTCTGCCGCCTGGCTTTTTTCCCCCTCCCACCCGCCACACTCTACATGCCAAGCGGCTCCACCCCATACCCTGCCCGCACACGCGAGCCTCCAAGTACGAGCCCCCCTTCCTCACCAGACAGGCGCACCCTCATCTCCTCTCGCCCCCCGCTCGACCCTCGCACGAGCCGCAGCTTCGCTTCTCATATGGCCGCGCTCCGCATCGCGTCCGCTTGGGGGAAGCGCTCCCCTCGACCGCGTGTCGAAGCGCCCCATTCCCCTTCTTCCCCTACCCCCTCCATGGAGTCTGTCGACGAGCCCATCCGCCTCGACGTGGACCCCTTCGACGAGAACGGCGCCAAGAAGCGCTGGCAGCCCTCGAAAAATCGCTTGCGTCGCGGCGTTTCGGGCAAGAAGCCACCCGTCCCGCCACCTCTCGCTTCGACGGCCTTCGTCCGCATCGCAGAAGAAGTACAAATCAACGACAACACGCTCGATGGAACATCCCCCGTCTCTAGCTTTCTCGACTCCGCTCCGAGTTCCCCTGGCGTTGTCGAGAAGAGCCCCGAAATTGCACCCCCGCCCGCGTTGAAGCCGCGCCCCTCGTCTGCTAGCAGGCTTGACGAAATTCAAGCTTTGCGCCGGAACGTTGACATGTGGGATACGCGGATAGACGAATTGGAACAACGCAATCATTTGCTGAAGAAGCAAGTTACAAGACTTAGCGCGCGCTTTTCAAGACCACGGCCTGCGAGTCCATAATTTTCGCTCTTCTCCACTTGTTTTATTCGCTTTCTTATGTACAAACTGCAATCCTGACTTGGCATGCCCTGGGCGTCTTTGAGCCTTCGTCGTGTACGCTATGTTCGTTATCCATTCTAGGTTTCCCATTCCCCTATTGATTATATGTAAAGTCTTTTCTTCCCCATACGTCCCAGTCGGGGTAGTCCGTAACCTCGGCGTGGGTTGCCATGCTTCGAGCGTCCACTTTACTTGTGTAATCGGTCCGCTGACCGCAATGCATTTTTCTCTCAACGGCCTCATGCCGTGGTCACCTACTAACTAGTTCCCCCCATATTTCCGTAAAGGGTCTAGTGCAACTGAGTGCGGCTTGCAAACCATAGCCAGATAGAAATGCTTGAAGCGGAAACTGGTTTTCAAAGCCGTCATTTGCCCTTCGGCTGGAAATGAAATACACACGAAAATATATATGCATTTCTGGGTCGACGACCGGCTGCACCTTGCGATGTACGCTTGACAGCCTTCTGAAGCCCTCGCCGTGCTTACAAAGTCTCGGAAAACACCACTCTCAGGTTCGATGGGTCATGAGTTTGACCTTCTGCAATCAGGCAAAATCTCCAATTAACCAGCTGGTCAGATTGGTAAACTCTCGAATCTGTGCCCGACGCAAAGCAGAAGGGACTACCATCATGCAACACGGCGGTGAAAACATGCAGAAGAGCCAGGGAGACCAAGAAGCCGGCGAAAGGGAAGCTTCTGATGAGTCTCGAAAAGTCACGCCCCACGTAGCAGCGAAGCGAAGAGAGAGACCCCCACTACGATACACCCAAGATTTTCCAACGCCAACTACGGTCTCTCTTGACGTCATCGGTGTCGTGCGCTCCCCGTACAAAGTACGTCCAGATAATTTGATACCTTCTCTGCGATTGCCAAATGTACCTTCGACGTAACCGATTATATTAACTCAGTAGGCTATGTTATATCTCTTATCAGGAGCGCTTTGGCACGCCAAGACAGCCTAACGTAACGGAAAACACGCTCGGCAATAAGATGCAACCCGCCACAATTGAACTGAACGAAGGCAGCCGTTTCGAGCTCGGCTTGCGTGGGCTCGCAGAGTTTGAGTACTGCTGGGTGGTATCCTTCTTTCATTTGAATCAAGGATTTAATCCGCTCGTGACACCACCGAGAGGACCCCGGAGGAAACAAGGTGTATTTGCGACGCGCTCTCCGCACAGACCAAATTCTATCGGCCTTTCATGTATTCGGGTAACTGGCGTAGATGAGAAGAATGGTATTATTCATTTGCTCGGTGTTGATTTATTGGATGGCACTGCGGTTTTGGATATCAAGCCTTGTACGTTGAAACCCACAAAAGTGCACACAGTTTACTGCAAGAGATGGTTCGTCCTCTTCATCTCGGGCCACTAACTTGATCATTCATGACCCGTCGCTACATTGGTATTATTCTTATCCTGGCGTTTTGTAGACGTCCCTTATTGCGATTCATACCCCAACGCGAAAGCTGGGTGGTTGGACGCCTTGAAGCAAGATATGAAAGCGCCAGATGCGCTTGGATACTATCCCCCACCTGCACACCTAATGCGACCGGTATCTCCTCTTAAGGAGCCAAAATCAAAAGGAGAACATATAAATGATCCTGCAGGCAGCAAGTCTACACAGACTCCCGATGATCCACGAACGGAATGACGCCAACTCACTGAATGCGTCTCGGGAGGAGTTGTGCCAAATGCAGATTCCAAATGAGTCCCCTCTGTGCTGCAAGGAGGCTTCAGTGCGTCTCAGTTGTTGTCCTTTCGCGGGAGAAGCTTCGACACTCGGTCCAGTCTGGTCTGAAATTCTATAGCCTTGGTTCGCAGTTCATTGAGTTCGCTGTCTTTCTTTGCAAGAAGCAGCCTTAGCTCGTTGAGTCGCACTGCAGGGTCCTAACATGAACAAGTCCAAATCAGGCAGGAACACCAGGACACATCTCAGAGTTAGAACGAAGATGAAGAACGTGGCAAACAGCCCCTAGTCGCCATGGCCGTTCACGGACACTTACATTGACGGCTGTAGGAGAAGTTTCATTTTGCCAGGACGGAATCTTCTGAGGACTAGATTTGGGCTGGAATCCTGGTGCTCTGGAATCTTTGTGAAAGTGATGAGGGTTTCTCGGGCAGCTGTTAGTGTCCGTGGTATCGAGAGTGCTCATTTGTGTTCACACTACATTTTTTAGGCGAGACCTCGAGTTTTGACGCTCCTTGTACTCACTCATGCTCGTTCGGGATTGACAACGTTTTTCGCGCTTATTCGATAAACCATGGAAGACCGATTCAATGAGTCTGTCGTGTCGTTGTAGGGAGAGCAGTAGGGGCAAGGGTTGGTTCTTCGCCGTGACATGATAATTTTACAATGTGAAGCGTAAAGAATTGTCCAGCGAAATTCCGTAATTTTTAGCGCGTACAGTACCCCTCGGGGTATGAGGAGTCCATTTTCCTACGGCACAAAAATTCGCGAAATGGTGTGATACCAGCAGATTGGTTTGAAGGGCCGAGACAATGAAGGGTTAAGGATGCGAAACATCGAGGTTGAGAACCTTTTCGTTTGAGGGCTAACATTACGAAATCTTCCTATCTGTAACTCATGTCCAAGGCTTGTCGAATCTATTCAGTCTATCTATCCGAGCTTCTCGAGCAGCAGCTCACCTGCACCAGATTCAAGTTTTTGTAAAACAGGCAGACGTCACCTAGCAGGCCTTGAAGCACGGGAAATGAGGTAGGCATTCCAAAAAAACGAGATGACACTTCCGAAAAGGACACGTAGTTCGAGCGGGATGAACAGGTAGTTGAGAAAGTTTGCAGGGACCCAGACAGACCAATTACTACGCATGATTCCAGGAAGCTCCTTCTTTAGCTTCTGTGTAGTAACAGCGATTCCACGGTCCTCGAACAAGCCCTGCACGTAGAAGTATAGAGAAGTAAATATGGGAGCGAAGAGGAGTTGGTCAATGGCGAGTTTGCCGATGACGACGGCAGCAGAGGATTGGTTCCGGCCCTTGAAGATGACCTTGTCGAGGAAGTTATGAAAAGCATGGATAAGTGGGCCTCTGTTGTTTTGGAGGAGGGGGAGAGCTTAGTTTGTTTGTTAGATACAGGATTGGATTGATTGTCTGTGCCAGCAGCAAGGGATGGCGACGGCTTATCTTTCCGATGGAGGAACAACGTACCGCAGAACCAAACCGATTGTGAGTTCATTCATGGCGGTACTAGAACGGAGGGGCATCTGCTTCATGCGTTTCGCAAACACATCGCTAAAAACAGACAGAATAGCCGAAGTGACCGCCTGTTTCCGAAATTCAAGACAGGCCGCAAATTTGAACCAACGATTGATTGAGCACGCGAGCGTAATGGGACTAGGTTAGCCATGGCATGAGGACTAGATTTTGCGACGGACTGCTCTGCATTGAACAAGAGAATGCAAACTGAGAGCGTACCTTTGTTAACAGGGGGTCGGACTGAAGCTTTTGCATGTACGAGTTCCAAGCCATGGAGAGGATGAAACCAGGTAAGGTCTTCGAGACAGTAGGTTCGGTTGACATGGTGAAGTTCTATTCTCGTTTCCTTGCGTAGTGGTGAATGGGGACGGCGGGAGCTTGCTGTCTGGCGACGGTTTTGTCAGGAAGTCGAAATTTGAGTAGGAGCAGAAGCAACGCGAGTCGAGGATGGGAGGTCTGGGATAGTTGAATTGTTTATCGTCGTATTGCTCTCAGATTGTGTTCGAGAAAGAAAGCGACTGCCTTTTGGAAGCTGTTGACTGAAACTTGAGTTTCAGGATTGCGCCAGCGCCTTGTCGAAGATATCTGCGGGGAGATAGACTCGGGCAGGTGTACAGTACAAGGGTACTGTGCCTTCATCTGGCAGCGACAGCAATGCCCTGCCCTACCTCTCTGTGCCAGTGGAAGGTCCTGGTCCCAGGACCCAGGACCAAGTGAGACCACTTGTTCTCGAGAGCATGGATAATGCCTTTGTCATATATGTACACGTGTATTCTTCACTCTTGTCGTCTGTAGCATGTCGCCATCAACCAGACCGGAGGACTCAGGGCGCGCTGTATCAAGATAGAATCGCATTTGGACTCGCACTGTAAAGTGTGCCCGGTTACACCCCCACGCATCAAAGGGACATCGAAACATACGCACCACCACATTTCCTTTATCGCGTGGATTGTACGAGCCGCACTCCCCCGTCGCGATCACGCGATCTCCCAGCCCCCGCCTACAACCATGGCGCTGCGCCTCAGCCTGCACCGACTCGCCGTGCGAGGCATCCACCGGACCCTCTGCACCCCAGGACAGCCTGCTATCGGCATCAAAGCGGAGCAGCTTCTCTCCGACACCGACCTGCAAGCCCTGTTGCACACGCACAAAAAGCAGCCAACAGATGATGTATCCACCACGCCCGATCTCCGCCTCGCCCTATTGCAGCACCTCTCCGCGCGCACAGGCCGTCCCGTAGCGAGCGACGCGTACCTACGTCTGCACACGGCGGAAGAGATGGCGCACTGGTTTGAGGTCTCGTTGCGGCCGTCGGGTGCTCGTCCGCATGCGAGAGAGATGATCAAGGAGCGGCTCGAGGGGGAGGCGGAGAGCGTGGATAAGAGGATCGATGAGGAGACTGAGGTGGTCAGGGAGGAGTTCCTACAAGCGTTGCCGGCGAATTTGCACATCGACCCGAAGACATTTGCAAATCCGGAAGAGCGCAGGGGAAGGAAGAGGAGGAAAGGACATGTGGTGAGGATGGTTAGGGAAAGTAAGATGGAGAAGAGTGCGTAACGATGAGGTAGAAGTTCTGCTACGCATAAGAGGGCGTTTTGGAATGGACTCCCGTGGCGTAGAGGCGGGACATGGGATAAGGACAAGCCATGCATGTTGGATAACAGTATGTATCAAAATATAGTTAGCAACAGCATGCACGGTCCTGTGCCGTTTAAGGGGATGTAGTTTGTGTACGGCGACTTGTGGATGCGAGAGTTTCTAAATGCTGGGTGTGACGGGTGAGGAAATGCGGTGAACGTGACGATCAGGGGCTTGCGCTACCATAGCGCTCTGCGTTCCTGACAACGTTGGCGCGGTGAGGGTGTATCCCGGCCTCTGCCGTTGGATAGTAAGAAGGCACACACTGTGCTATACTGTAAATGACAGCATTCAGCGTGGAGGATACACTATTTGCAGAGATGAGGAATTTGATCTGTGCAGAGCCTTGACGAAGGTGTTAAATAAAGTTTATGTGTGTGAGAGTGCGGAATGATTTATAAACGGTTTGAGGATCCATGATTGTGTTCGTACAGACTTAATCGACGTTGGTACGCATGTCACACTATCCAACACTGCGCTGTATGTCTGTGCGCACAGCGAGCGCTTCTCAACGACGATATTGAATGTGCGCCATAGTACAGTTTTTCAACCCGCAATGGTCTTGATTTGCAGGCTAGTGTGCATTTCGTTTCAAGAGGAGAAGCGTGTTTGTACGGGGTTGCAAGGCCAGATCATATTGCATGGAGTGAGGCCAAAGATTGGCGACGCGGAGGCGATGGCGTGTCCGAATGGGGGACAACTTTCGGTGCGTGGTTGCAATGGAAGCATGACGTGACATGACGATGAACGTTTGAGAGGATCCAAGTCCGTCGACAGAGGGACGGAGCGTGCCACAGTCGCAAGTGGGCCGCACTGTACAGTTTTGCGTAGTGACAGGCTTGTCAGTCGAACGTTGCGCCGCCGAGGAGCACGGGATGAGACTGCCACCGGGTTCCATTGGGGCAGTGCCATGGACCAATGGGAGATGACAGCAGAAGGGCAGGATGATGGAACGTGTAAGATTTGACGAATTGGATTGGAGGATGACGTGAACGGATCTGAACGCATGGATGCTACGGTGGAATGTGACGTGGCGGGCTGCCACGGCCCACCTTCGCCAATGGCGAAGTCTAACGGGGCTTGCCCCTCAAAGCAAGCCAATGAGGACGCGCCAAGTGGCCCCTTTCCGAAGCTTCGAATTTAAACCCAAGCCGCTGCACCCGAGAAGTAATGAGAAAATTGCCCAAGTTTCGAATCCAATGCCATCCCGCCACCCACTTACCAGTAGTCTGCCCGTTTCCTCCTCAACCCCTTCTGCGTCCGTAAGTTCTCGATCAATGCCACCGTCGGGCCCAGCCCTTGCCCAGCCCCGACCCGCTATGCCCAGTTCCACCCCCTCCCACCTAACCCGCAACTCCTGCTCCCTACCCTCTTCCCACAGCTCTCCATGCCTATCCCTGACCCCCGAGACTACTACACCCCTCACCCGTCGCATCATCCCAGCCTCATCTCCTGCCCTTTCTACCCTCCCTGCCACCATCAACGACCCCTGCCCTCTCCTCCCCAAACCCAACTCATCTGCCGTTAGCCCCTGTCTCCTTCTCCGCCTTTCGCTTCATCGCCACCATATTCGCTTCCGCCCGACCCGACCCAATTCCGGCCTCAACGCTCTTCCATGCGCCCATGCCACCATGGCCGCGCCTGCAAGGAGCCCCCCACTGTTCTCGGCCCCCCTAACTCCGCCACCCAATACCGTGTTCTCCATTTAGTCGGCAAAGGCGGCTTTGCGCGTGTCTACACAGTCAGGCAGACCACCCCCCAACTTGCTGCGCCTTCGCCTCGCCCCACGCCAAGTCGGCGTGGCGAGCATGGATCCCTTAACCACGCCCCTAACTCAACTCCCACTAATGTCACCACTCAAAACCCATCAACTCATCCTGTCCTCGCCCTGAAAGTCATCAGCAAATGCAGACTCGCCAACACAGCCACGGGCCGCGAGGCTCTGAGAAACGAGGTCAGCATCCATCGCCAGCTCCAGCACCCGGCCATCGTCAGGCTCATTTCGTACTGGGAAGATCAGTACCGCATTTATTTGCTCATGAATTACGTCAACGGCCCCCAATTGGAGCAGTACGTCAAGTCCAGAGGTCGTCTCACCGAAGAGGAGGCTTCCACGTACGCCGCCAATATTTTTGAGGCTCTGTCGTATCTCCACGCTAATCGAATCATCCATCGCGACCTCAAGCTTGCCAACATCCTCCTATCCCAGGACCTCAACCGTGTACTGCTTTGTGACTTTGGACTCGCCGCCCATTTGGATTCATTGCGTCCAGGAAAGGATTCGAATGTTTGCGGTACGCCTAATTACGTCGCCCCAGAGCTTCTGACTCCCTCAGCATTAGCTCGTCTCACCCCTAAGCGCAGTTACGGCCAATCCCACAAGCCTTTTAACAGTAAGCAAGCCAAAAGAGCCGGCGCCACAGAGGTTAGCTACACCACGAGTGCAGATTCTTGGAGTATGGGCGTTGTATTGTATACCATGCTTGTTGGGTCTGGCCCCTTCGACGGTGAGGATATCAAACGTACTTTTAACAAGATACGAACCGCTCGCTTTACCTTTCCAATTGGCCTCAGACTCTCTGCGAATGCCAAGTCGCTCATCCGTCTGTTGCTGTCCGAGGACCAGACGAAGCGTCCGTCTGCAGATCAGGCTCTGAGCCACCCGTTTTTTACCACGCGTCCAATTCCGAAATTGTTTCCACAGTCTTCTAACCTCGGACTCATTCCCGAGGGTGGATATGTTGAGCATGCTCGAGACGCCGATCCTCGCCAAAAGACCAGAGATCATTTTGTAGATCGCGCAGACGGGCCCGGGGAGCACGGCTCCGTTCGATCTCGGAGAAAAGGATTTACCAATCGGCGGGGGTCGGATTTACAGAGATGGAATGAAGCTTACTCCGCCAACAACCCGAATCTTGCGAGTTCTTCGAAAGATGCGTTTGAAGTTGGCAGACCCCAGAGCCAGGGGTCAAGCAGGTACGCGCGCCAGTATTCTCATGATTTCGGGTCGCGAAGACTCCCACGAGCGGCCAAGGAACGCAGCTCATCTCTCACCACATCCGCAGTGGTTCAGCGCAGTAGAAATCATACGCGACGTTCTAGCCTGAACACGAGAGCAGTGAACGAACTGAAGGAATCCCGCCAGTCTCAATCATTCAGACGTTCATCCATACGGTTTTCAGAAAAGCGAACTGACCTACTTAACTTGTCAGTTACCTTGTCAGCGGCTTTGATGTGGGGCCGCCAATGTCTTGACGATTCGCTAGGTCATGAGTCCGAAGAAGACCGACGACAAAAGCTCGCACTGGTGGCTCAGGCGGTAACGCTATCCGACACACCCCCTTTGGTCCGGCGTTGGGCCGATTACACAAGAAAACATGGGTTTGCAACCATGATGGAAGATGGAAGAACAGGGATATGCTTCAATGATGGCAGTATCATGTTCTTTGTCTCGGTGACAGAAAGCTCAGAGATTCCGGAGTTTGCATATATTCCTCCGCTGGAAGCGCAATCGGACAGTGGCAGTAGCGACAGCTCAGACGGTGACGCGCAAGAAAAGCGAAGCAAAGACATCTCGAAAAAGGCATGCCTGTGTAACCTGTTCGCAGACCTCATGCATGATGGTGGCCGTGGGTCCATGTATGACTTGCCTTCCGCATGCAATGTGTCTTTTTTGAAGCCAGACTCAGAAACAACTGATCAGCCTACGAGAACACCATCACGAGAAGACCATAAAGATGTGGTTCATGTCCGTGACTGGGCGAGATTTCGAAACTCACGCGCTGTTGCTTTTCGACTAAGCAACTACTCCATACATGTGAAGTTCGACGTTGGCGAAGACAGATGCGACGACTTTTTATTTAACCTTGTCAGCAATACGCTCTTTTATCGAGAAGCCAGAACCGGTGAGGCATGGGAATGTGACGTGAAGAATTTGGGAGAATTTTCGACGATCTCTGAACACTTGCACGCCCAACTTGAGTTGTGCTCACAGGCAATTTCTCAAATGTTGAAATGAACTGCGACATCTTAGAAAGGCACTGTACTATAAATTCTGTAAACTGACCTAGCTGGGATTCTTCAGGCGGCTCTCATGGGAATCCCCTGGCGATGCCGTTAGAGCCGCTGGATTGCTAGCTTCAAAACCATTCCACTAAGTCAGAGAGAGCAAGCCTGAAATATGGTGCGGTTGAATGCCTTTTCCTCCTGAAGGCACTAGCATGCCATGCCTCTGCGCCCTGTTGTGCAGTTTCACGCAACTGTCTACTGAGCGTACAGTACCCAAGGGTACGCTACGGTATGGGCCGAGTACCCTTCCTGACCGGGGCAATTTGGAATTCGGGGGCAATTTGGGAATCGGGGGCAATTTGGGAATCGGGGGCAATTTGGGAATTTTTAGTATTACCCTTCCAGATTCTCAAGAACACGCCATTGCCATGCTAGCGATAGTCGTACAAGTTCCTTCGTCCTCCGTCGTTGCCCTGCGATGCAGAAGTCCGCCAAAATTCAAACTCCTGCAGCCCCACGGCGTCCCAACGCTCGTAAAACTGTCTTCTACAGCACTGACATCATGACTTTGACAACAAGTATTCGTGCGTCATGGGACTCTCCATGCGTATGACAAGTGTAATCGAAAAGGGACGCAGGAACGCGACGCATTCATGAAAAAGCCGCGGGAAAAAGCCACTGCACTCCTTCGTATAGGTACTAAACGGTCTGTCGTCGTGAAAGCGACAAATGTACCTGGCACAACAGTAGATCGGATTTATCACGCCCTCAAAGAGCGTGATGAATCCAAACTCAACGCCCTTCTATCGCCAGAAGCCCACCACGGAGGACTCCGCACATGTATTACAGAACAAGAGTCAAATTTGATGAAGAAAAAGATTGCATACGCGGCAGAAAAGCGGTTTGCACTCTCAAACAATGATGTGACAAATATAATGACTCAGATAGCGTCTGACGGAGGTCCACCATTTCGCACAGAATCTGGCAGTCCGTCTCAAGACACTATCCGTCATTGGTGTGCACAGAATAGAGACGTCACTTATCGAAAAAGTTAGAACAAAGACGTCGCAAAGTTGGCGCCTGAACATTTCACTCATGTGTCAACCTTTTCAAATGCATTGAAAAAACTGCAACATGCTAATCCTGGTATATTTAACGACCCCTCCCGCCTTTGGAACCTCGACTAGACAGCTGTGGACAATCAATATGGGGTAAAAACTAAATAATTTGGGTCCTCACGCACCATTCACAGTGGTTATTTGGCTTGTAAGCTAGAAAAACAACAAGCATATGACGATTGTGGTGGCCGCATTGGCATCTTGTCCCAAAATTCCTCCCTTTTTCATTGTAGAAGGAAAGAATCTAATAAGCAGATAGGTCTCTCCGCTCAAACAGACCGAAATAATATGCCCTTCTGTGCAAACTAGTACATTGTCTCAAAATATGTGGTGTCAGACGGGAGCCGCAATAATGACAACTGTGGGATAACTCCTCTCCGCCCTGGGTTGGGTGAGAGCCGGAGGCATTAGCGAGGGAGCACGCAACGCGGACGCGACGCGCTAATTGAACCGATCGGACGAACTCGCGAAAGTGAGTGGCTCACTGGCCGGTTACGCGCAGTCGCCCCGTGGTGCGTAAACGGGAGCGACCGGTACCATGTTAGAATCCAGCGCGCGCGACAGAAAACCGAAAACGGACCTACGTAGGCGCAAAAGGGACGGGGGCGAGCTTGCCCCCGTTTACTGGTGGGGACGGGTGCCAGGTCTTAACCCCGCAGGCGGACGCCTCGGACAGCTGTCCCAGTACAGTAGTACAGTACCTGCCGCCTAGTGCGTGCCGGGTACTGTACACAATTAAAAAACTAGCGCCATAATTACTACTACCGCAAGGACGCTGCTACTACACGTGTGCACTACTGTACACGCGTGTTGCTTACAGACTACCACACGGACGACAAGTGTGCTAACGCGCACACGTAACACGCGTAGACTACCGTTCGGACGACACGTGCACTACTGTACACGTACGCCAGATTACGACCGCTCGGCATGCGCGCGCGCTCGCTACACGTGGGCACAACCGCCCACGTGTATACCGTACACGGCCGTCCGATGACCTCCGCGCGCTCGCGCCGGTCATTATACTACAACAACAGACGGGGGAAATATGCAAAAGAGACTCATTTTCTTTGTGATAGAGCATGTGGATACATTTGTGAGGAAGACCGTACCCCTGGAGCTTTCGTACTGTGTGACTCTTGACAGTCACTCGCACCGAGAAGATTTCGAGTAGCTCGAGTTATGCAAGCAAAAAAAGTGCGAAGTCGTTCAGTCTCCATCAAACACGACTCACTTCTTGCAATCCTGCGACCAGGACATAAACAGTACATTCAAAAAAGGGACGCCCAAATACCGGACCTGCTTCATAAAATATCAACCATCGACATGCGAAGTTTGCGTGCAGATCTGATGGTGGCGATGTTGGCTTACAGAGAAATCACGGTGGATAAGATTAAGTTAAGCTTCGAAAAGTCGGTGTTATGGCTAATAGACTACTCTTGACTTAACAGGTTTAAGAGACCAACACTAGATGCGGTCACATGTGACCCAAAAAGTGGCAAAGTCGCCCGAAATGTGACAAATAGAACCCGGGACCCCAACAACCGCACTTTCCATCAGCTCAAAAAAATTTGGAGTCTGCCAAAGACCCCATAACGGGACTCAGGGATGTAAAAATGCTTTTGCGCAAAAGAAGAAGTATGAATGAAATGTTTATGACAAGCACGCGTTTCTCGAACATAAAAAGTTCGAACGCATGGCGCAAAAAAGTGGGAGTTACAAAAAGGTACACCTGCTCTGTACTTGACTTTGGACGATATAATCGAAAGCAGAAAAGAGAGAGACGTAAAACTTGCTGCTGAGAGGCATCTCAAAACTGAGAAGAACGAACAGGCGGACCGCAGTCGAGCTCAGATGTGATTCTCGAAGGAGAATGGCCGTACAAAGTCCACAGCTGAACCAAAATTCCCCGCCCCGCTGTCTTCCCTACAGCCTGAACGTTTTTCTCCGACATCTCGGTCGAGATTCGGAGCGGCAATGAGTAGTACACTCTGGATGCAAGCGTTTAGCAAGGATTTGAGGGGTGAAGAGGAAGTTGTGGAATCTCTGTTATCGCTTTTTGGTTCATAACTAAAATCACCAAATTGCACCTTTTTCCATTTGAGCCCCTTTTCCATGTATCGGGAAATGTCGAATGGCTTCCAACAGGTTGTTTTTGCCAGCGTCTTTTCGTCGTGGATGGCACATGGACACCCCGACTGGCTGTAGCGGACACTTTTTGGCTGCTCGGGATAGTGCCATTCAATACTTGTAGGGCCCTGCCAAAAAAAATCCCAAATTGCCGCGGCCAGGAAGGGTACAATGCATATATTCTGTATACTGTATATATATAAAAATAAAGAGAAAATTTCTTACGTGCCCCTTGTATTTTGGAATTTTTGTTACGTGCCCCTTTCTTCACCTCACTCCCGAACGATTTTCCGGTACAGTCGACCCTACGCATTAGTGCCACCCCGTGTAAAGACTAATAATACGGCACTAATTTGGAGCGGCACAATCAGATGGCAGAACCACTACCCCGCTAGAACTCTGTTATTAGAGCAACCCCACCGCCCACATCTATTTGATCAATAGAATTTCCGCTCACAATTTTCAACCCCACCGCGCAATTCTATCGCTTTCCGAAATCGAATAGAACAATTTTGGGATCTATCCGAGCGCCGATAGATTCTAAAAACGTTCTATCCGGTGAATAGATTCCGCGATAGAATGCCACGTGCCAGGCGTGTCAGCCGAATTCTGGCCAACTGTGCATCCTTCTCGCCCGAGAACCTCCGCTGCTTCGTCGCTGCAGCATGCATTCCGGTGGCGCGTGACCTGTGCATGCTCGCGACGATGCTTTCATCATCGCCATCGCTGTCGTCCATATACTGTACTGAAGGACGCTTCCGAGGACTGTTCTCCGGTCCATTGGCGATGATAACTCGTGAGAGCGCGTAGTTGGACAATACCCGAGGGAGGGCGCGCGACGAAGAGGGAAAGAGGGCACAGGCTGCGGAAGAGAGACATGCAGCCGCGCGGGATTCACGGCGAGGGGTGGGCGTCTCGATGAACGATCGCCTCTTCGCAGACGATGTGTGACGTCTCGCCGTTGTCTGCGCGGGCATAGAGCGATAGATTTGCAACATATGCGTTGGGGTTGACGCGAATAGATTCCACACGAATAGATTGACGAATAGGCACAAAATTCAATTCGGGCAACCGGCGAATGGTCAGCGTACACGTTGTATTTCTATCCGGCAATAGAATCGACGCGTTGGGGATGCTCTTAGGAGTGGGCGATGACGACGTCGTGCATGACACGTGGCAGAACCTGTGTCTGCCGGTTTTGGCGGCACTAATTCGAGGGTGAAAATAATAAAAGCGGCACTATTGCGCGTCCCCCCCCCCCCCCGGTAGAGGTACACAGTGTCTGGGGCTTCGCAAGTCGTAGTTAGTGCTCAACTTGACCACAAGCAGAGCAACGCGACTTTCGTTGAGGCGCTGCGACCCCCTGTTTCCGCCGTTTCTTCGGCCGACCTGCCTGACTCGGAACTCTCCACGCGCTCATCTGTCTGGCAATAGGCAGAATCTGCAAATCCACGTTAATGTTTACTTGAGAGGCAAGGGCAGCAGCAGCAACACATACTGGTGTTGAAGTGTTGCATGATGAAAAACAGTCGATGCCCACTTTGTGTCGAGATGATTCCAGTGTGCAGCCTCTGGGACGTTCGCATGCCCCTCGCGTAGATTATCAAACACTGTCAAAGCGTGCACGCAGAGAAGCCCCGTCTTCTCAGGCTTTCGGCATTTGCAACTCATTTCCGACCGCTCACCTTCCAGTTGAGCCATCCTCACGCACCAGACCTGCGTTCCCTTCGAGACACTGCTGGGAGGGGCACTGTATACGCAGGCGCCCAAAGTCTGAGTTTTTTACCTTGTGAGATCGGCCCACCGTGGCGCACAGGGCCAAGGATGCCATCCAGATACTGTGCTTGTCAGTGAACGTGCTCCCTTTGATCAAACTCATTCCGACGACGCCCTCTTCACCTTTTCATCACTCTAGCGCCCCCAAGGAAAGGGGCTTATATAAATGGGCTTATAAAAGGGGCACGTAACAAAAAATCCCAAATAAAAAGGGGCACGTAACAAAACTTCCCAAATAAAGGGGGGCACGTAAGAAAATGTCTCATAAATAAAAGGTACAAAAAAAAAGTTGTCCCATTTTTGAGGAAAATCAATTTCGCTTCGCCAACATGCAAACATGCGACAAGGTAAGGACCAGGACATCTACAGGGCTCGCCCTTCTGCCACAGCCAAAAGCATCTTTCGCCTAATCCTGTCACCAAGTTCGTCCGGTGGCATACCGCTGAGCGCATCGACTATGAAGGCATAGTGGCTTGTATCGCGTCTGTCGCTATTCGGGTTGAGCTGGTTTAGTACGCAACCAGTATAACTGTCATGGGGTTTCCTCTCCCATCGCGTGACCATGCTGCGTTTTGGGGGCTTGGCCTCGTGAACAACTTCACCTTTTGCGTCTTCATAACTGCTGCTGAAGAAATCATCAAAGGATATGCAGGGCTCATCCTTCTGTGCACAGTAGTGCCCGGCTTTCTGAGTCGCCTCGTCCTTTCGCTATATGCGGAACGTGTCCCTTATGCCCTGCGAATCGCCGTTGTATCTGTCTCGTCATGTTTTTGCATTCTGGTGGTCGCGCTTTCTTCCTCGGTTCCTGTTCAAATGCTTGCATTGGCGCTTCAAGCGACCATCGGCGCACTCGGGGAAATCTCATTTCTCGCGCTCACGTCGAGATTTTCGGATTCAGTGGTTGGTGCTTGGGCGAGCGGTACAGGGGCTTCCGGGATCGCAGGCGCGGGAATCTATGTTCTTCTTAGAGAAGTGTTTGGATTATCATCGTCGCAAACATTAATTTCTTGTTCTTGGATCCCGCTGGTACTGATTGTAATCTACCAGGGTGTCCTTGTCAATTCCCCGTCGTTTGAACGCATACCGTCCGAAGACGAAGTTGAAACTGCACAAACTGCGGTCGAAATAGAAGAAAAAATATCTACAACAAAGAAAGAGTTCTTCCCTACGCTCCTGAAGACCTACATGATTCCACTCGCTGTCGTCTACTTCGCGGAGTACACAATTAACGAAGGAGTGCTTGGCACTCTAACTACATTCAAAAATAACAAAGAGTACGAGGTGGAAAGGATTTACACCCAACTGCAATTCACGTATCAGATCGCAGTGTTTTTCGCAAGGAGCTCAATATGTGTGGTCAAAATTCACGCCATCTGGGTGTTACCAATACTGCAACTGCTTAATCTTGTGGTTTTGGCGTTCGGCTCCATGTTCATGTTGGTTCCCTCAGCCGCGGTAGCTTTCCTAATTGTCTTCTGGGAAGGGCTTCTCGGAGGACTTACATACGTGAATGCATTCTATAGAATAAAGACGGAAACACCCGCACACTTGAAAGAGTGGGCTTTAGGAACAGCAACAGTAGGAGACGCAGCTGGGATCTCATTGGCAGCAATAGTTAGCATTTGGTTAGAGAGCGCTATAGTAAATTTTCAGAAGTCGTCTTAGAGACGGCAATGGCAGCGCATATTCCGGGCCAAAGCCTCGTGACATCATTTTTTACGCGACAGTGTCCGTTGCTTCTCTGCATTTTCAACAATTTTCTCCTCTACCTTCAATCCTTTCCTTCGGCGCACGCCATTGATAAGCTTCCGAGCGAGGTTGTTGTTCTCAGCTGTCATATCTGCAGCCCCAAGATCTTCCAATTCTTCATCTGTCTGCGGGGTCCAAAACGGGTCTGTGTCAATAATCTCCCAATGACTAAAAACCATTTGGGGAACAGCAAAACCAGATGTCTGCTTCCGCAGTAGGTCTGTAAACCCGAAGGAATCCTGGACGGGAAGCAGTGCTTCAATCCCAAACACATTGATACCTTCTTTCACCTCTTCTTTCAACACCCGTCCTCTTCGTTGACCAAGAACCGTATAAGTGCGTCCCAACGCATCAGCAGGTACTGATATATCAACATGTAGAACGCCCTCCATCAATCTCGGGCTCCCTTGCATCAGCGCCAGTCTGACCCCCTCACGCATGGAGCCAATGACTAAACCAGAGACTTTTGCCAAAGCGTGCGAAGATTCGTTAGCGACTGTGTTCTCACGGTCATCTTTTCTCCCTTGGGCATCGATGCGTTCTGATTCCCGACTACTATCGCGTGCCACGGCAATATCAGTCGACTGCGGAATTCGGATAGAATCGAGAACAAAACCTACTCCATGCATCGGTTCTTCACAAAGAGGACCTGCGCGGCTCCCAAGCTGGAAGCCAGCCACAATGGCCTTTTCAAGTTCCTTCCCGTTCCATGTGGCGCGCCCTTTCGATTCAGCCAGTTCACCGAAGATCTTATCCAATAAACCGGATCTCGTCGTGCTCTTGTATGGTCCGAGAAGTAAATTGGATCCAAACTGCCTAGGACCACACGACCAGACCCGCGGAAGTATCTCCTGTATCCAGTACCTCTTGACTGTCGCTTGAGGCGTTTTCTTGGATGCACTCTGTTCCGCATGTGCATCAATAGCTTCTTCAATATCTTCTCTGATCTTTCGAATATCACTGTCATCAATTGTCTCGACCTCTTGACGCAGTAGGGACGATGCCCGCTCCAGCACTTTAGCGAGCTGTTCTGGGAGGGGAATAGACGTCATGCGATAACCAATGTTGTCGTCTCCAACATGAATGAATCGTCCACACCTTACAAATTTTTTGTCAAATAGCTGCAGAGTTGAGTCGCTGTTAGTCTCAACATCAACGCTCCACCCAACAAGTGATCCTTCAGCTTCGTTCTCCTCGGTTTCACGTCTTCCAGTGCTTTCATTTTCTTGTTTAATCTCTCCAGGCTTGGACCGCTTCTCCTTCGAAAAAAATTTACTTAGGCTTGGCTCCAACTCCAGAATGCTTGCACTCTGGGAATTTCCGCCAAGAACCGTTTCTCGAAAAGACACAATAGGTTTTGAGACATGTATCCTAATTCCTTTTGCGTATCGTTCTCGAAGATCTTTTAGACAAGTCTCCAAATGTAATTCCCCATTAGCAGCTACAACATGCTCTCCCTTCGTAGTAACAAATGTTTCAACGGCGGGATCGGCTTGGTTCAGTCGACGAAGGCCATCCCGGAGTTTACCGACATCCTGCGGTAAATGAGGCTCTACCGCAACCCTCACAACTGCATCTTTTTCAAGGCCAAGAGATGAAGAATTGAATGTCCCCACCGGTAAACATTCGCCTGGTTTTTCCGAGCTTATGGTGGCAGTCTTGAGGACTGCATCTTCCATACCCGCTATCCCTACAACGGATCCTGCGGATGCAGAATTCAGGGGTTCCATCCCTCTGCCCATCAACAAAAATAAGCCAGTAACGGTCGCCTCAGAGACATAATTGGAATCGAAAGAACCGTCCTTCCCGACTTGGTACTTCGGAGAATAAACAAAAACAGAGTCACCAACTGTCAATGTCCCCGAAAGAATGCGAGCCATCGCAACCATAGGAGGGAAAGACGTTAAGGTTTCCGGCGCTTTGCTTGTCTCTTTTTCCTTGGAAGTGGCATCCCGCATGGCCTGCAACTCAGAACGGCTCATTGGGGTCCTAATATTCATATGGTTGCTCAGAGGGTTTTGATCGTCTTTCCCCTCAACCATCTTCGAGACAAGGGCAATAACTGGAGCATTTTTGCCGGCATCCGCAGTAGCAATAGACCGTTGTTGTCGTTCAAAGCTTTCGAGCATCGTAGAATCAGACATAGTACCTGACTTTCGGGCTTCACATCCAAGGCGAGCACCATTTGGCCACAGAGCCGCCAATCGCCTGTTGTCTGCCTGGGCGTCCGCAGCGCTTGGCAGTTTTTCTATGACAGTGTCCATCAAACATGAAGCCGCCGGAAGCCACGCATTCATTATGGCATGCAACGCGGTTTGAGCGTCACGGTGCTTCAGATCTCTGGCACTGACCTTCAGTCCCAGTTTCGAGACAAACATCTCTCGTTTCTCCACGGCTAGCGGCAAATCGTGCTGTGTCTTGTGAATGGTCTCATAAATGGCATGGACATTCGATAGAATAAACTGTACAAACATGGGCTTTGCTCTGCTCTTCAATGCCGTTGATTTCTTCCGCGATATTCTTTTTGCTTTTGGTTGAAAGTAGTAATCTCCCCACAATGTCTTGGTGAGAACCCTTTCGGAAATACCAAACTTGTGGGAGAAAATGCGCGCGAAATCAGCTATACGAAAGGCCCAGCCATCGATTGCGGATGCAAATACCACATTTCCCAGTTCGGGCGAAAAGAACCCGCTGACGTTGTGGACATTCCCTTCCACTGCACCTTCATCTAATTTCCATTCAGAGTCGCCTTCGTCTTCCACATCGGCAACGGAAGCAGCCGCCATCATTTGCTCTACTTCGCGAACCCCCATGATCACATTAGCCTGACCCAAAATGTTCACAATGTGCTCGTAGGCTTCCATGGGCTCTAAATGCAACTCTGTAAAAAGCCGATCAATTTTGTTCAGTACGAGAACTGGACGAACGGCATGCTCCAATGCCGCCCGAAGCACGGCTACAGTCTGCACGCAAACCCCTTCCACCACATCAACAACGAGAACAGCACCATCACAAATCCGCAACGCTGCTTCCACTTCCCCGCTGAAATCAACATGCCCTGGAGAGTCAACCAAATTGACAACGTTCAATCCTTCATGACCTACAGATACAAACAATCAGGAGAAAGGCACAGGATCAGGGTTAGTCGTGTCTTTATGTTTCGAACACTTATAAAAAAAAAGACAGAGCCAGGATTCCACATGCCTGCAACTTTGTGACCAAGAGCTATTGAGGATGACTTCATTGTAATACCCCGACGTTGTTCGTCCTCCCTAGAATCCATGTACCTCACCTGTTCGATGTGCAGATCAGCCACAACTCTCCATGTGTCAGTTTGATTGCTAGAGAAAGATTTTACGGCCTGAAACAAGTAGGCAAACGCCAAGAGGAGCTTACCTTACCGGCAGATCGAGATGATATTATTCCATTTGCTGAAATAAGCGAGTCGGAAAGCGCAGACTTGCCGTGGTCGACATGAGCGAGCATGCATATGTTCCACGTGCGAGACGCTGGTACTTTTAAATCCGCAGGTGATTCCGACGTCATTCTGGCAGAAGAACCTTACGCTGAACCTTTGTTCAAGCAGGCTTTCAAAGAAATCGTCACAGTTCACGTGCCTGCTTGGCCGTGATGGACGTCAGCTTCAACTCCTCACACCCTCAACTCGCAAGACACCACAAAGCACACTGAGCTCTACGGATTGGAAATTCCCGCGGCCAATTGTTCGATTCAAGAGGGCTTAAATCACGTCATTAGGGGCGGGGACGCGCAGCATTTTTATCTGAGGGCCGGTAAGCTGTTCCAGTGTGCTGGAAAGTCTTCTCCAATGCGGCTGTGCGAATGGTCCTTTCCATAAAACAAAAAAAGATAAAATTAGTTAACCATCAAATTCAGCGGCCCTCATAGAGCCCCTTTTTATACCCCAGTTGCATAGCAAAGGGTTAAACTGGTCATACATACAGTATATGCTCGGTATGTGCGCTACGACTTTCAGCACAGTACATCCCGTGCTGGGGGCGGCACAAGCACAGCAAGAGATCCATTAGAGGCTGCAATGCACGAGCGAGTGGATGATCAAAGCGGTTCTGCTGCACAGATATGTATTGAATCCAAGAGGGACAGTGCAAAAAAACAATAAAAGGGTAGTGAGCGAATCCCTGAAGTAAGCGTCGATCAACTCGCTCGAAACGTTAGTGGTTACCCCTCTCCAGTGTTGTAAGGTGCACCATGTGAACTCGCGAATAGACAGTATAATGCAATACAGCATACTCTGTAGTGCCCTCTGTACATTCTTACCCGGCGCGTCTGGAGCTTGCGTCTTTAGTCGACAGGCATGCTTCTCCCTCACACTGTAAAGCCTTCTTTGCACTTGATGTCGTTGTTTTACTTCAGTAGTCAAAGCAAAACTATGCAGCGCATCGGCTTCCCACAGCAACTGTCTGTCTGTGCCTCTGAAGGGGGGAGAGCTGGTATATCAAATCCGTCAAAATGAACACATCCTGAGCGAGAGCAGCTAAACACAGATGTGTCTCACCATTGCCATCGACTCCTGGCTTCAAGATCTTTCTAAAAGGGAAGAATAGAGTACAGGACTGGAAGGGTATCGAGACGACATGATGTATATTTTCAAACGGAGGGTCGGCAGCTTTGTTGGTTCTAAAAGTCTTGTAACTTTTGACTTTACGTCATCTGGTTGTAGATGTGGTGTGTCTGAATGACGGGCAGAAAACACCGCAAAGCCTGTTTCAAAGGGCGAGACACTCCAGACAATCATTTCTCCAATGCAAGGCGATCCCCAGAGCACGTGAAGTGTTTTATGAGGCAGATTGTCACATTTAACTGTCCTCAGCGCAGGCATACAATCGGAACGAACACCCCTTACCACCAGGGATACACGGCCTCCACTTAACGCTGTGGCACGACCGCAGAATCCCCACAGCCGGACAGTATTGCTGCGTCTTCAGAAGACGTAAGATGGCATGAAAGCAACATATCAGACTGAAGGGGCCTAACAGATGAAAAAACGCTCATTGCTATACAGCTTCCTCTTTATTGCATACACAAGTATAATGAAGCTTCGCTTGCAATTCCCGAAGCTCTGTCCGCATTAGCTCATTTTTGCAGACCTCCAGTTGTGAAAATCTCCAGCGTCAGGCCTTGCCTTGCCAGGAAGACGAAAGAGACAACAGCTCGATTAAACTTTGTGAGCTCATGTACATGGGAAGAAAGACTCTGCGCAACTTGGATCCACCTTTCGGCAGAGGGAGAGGGTGATCAGTATGAGTGGACTTCGTGGTGGATGCGCCTTACAGAACAGTGCAATCAGCACTTGTGGAACATAATACGTTTGAGCCACTGGCTCTGGCACGGTGCAGTTGTGGGTCTATTTACAGTATCTAACTTTTAAGGGGGGGGGGGGGGGGGGGGGGGGGGGAATCCCCCCTGAAAAGGGAAACGGCCAAGGGGAGAAAAACAAACCCGGGACCA